CGAATTCGATGATTTTGTACCCATTTCCATCATACTCAAATACTGCTCGAGCTTTGCAACCAACCCTTTTCGACACACGTTGTCGTGGAACCACACCTGACTCAGAAGGTAGTTGTGACATGCTCTTTGAAGTATTTTGTGGGATTTCTAGCTTAAATCTTTGTCTATTGCAAACCATATACTGTTTATTTATCACTCCACTTCTAAACCGTTTTGTTGTGTAAGTCCGCACATCAAATCCACCATTTGCTCCGTAGTTTCTGTAGAATTTCTTTGCAATATCAATGTTTGAAAACAACATGCCGACTTTAGGCTTTATATCTTGTTGGACGATTGGCATCCAATACTTTGTTAAATTTGGTGATATCACTATCTGAGATCCCTCATGAGTAGTACATACTACAAAATATAAGAAGATAAAAAAGTTTTGAGAACTGTTGCAATTTTAGTTCAACAATGTTGCTATTTTATAATTAAAAAGCTGCATATACAGTTATAATCTAAAACAACTGAAATGAACAAAACTGCAGTTATAACGTGCATACTTAACAAAAGATTTTTGCATACTTAGTTCAATAACGTTGCTTAGTTAGATCTACGACATTGCATATATGTTTGTAATGCTGAACATCTGGAAGAATGAATAAGCAATTATTACAGGCATACTTATTGACATAATCATGCTTAGTTATTTATCTTTCATGCATAGTTTGTTTTATATATATATTCATCTAATGTGCAAGTATAACAGTGCAACACCCAATTTTTACGTGCATAATTATTAATACATATTGCATATTTAGTTATTTCTTCATGCATATATATTCATAAACCAAAGCATATGTAATATGCTTATTAGAAAACAGAGATTCCACCCCCAAATCAGATTTGCAGATAAGCAGAACAATTGTCTTAATGTAATGTGATCGATCTAATTAAATAACTCGATTCATATGAATGTTGAATTCAGAAGCACGTATTTATTTAAAATTCAATGAATCAATTTGAAAAAAAATAAAGTCGGTATACCTTCTTCCATCAATGTCGCAACTGGAGTTGCTTCGATCTCCATTGAAGCTGCTTCCGCCAACATTTGCAGACAAATCTGATGAAACTTATGAATGTGATGATTTTGATCGACTTTTTCCTCTGGATATTTTGATGTGCAGTTGAGTACGTTTATCAGATCAATAAAAAAGAGAGTTAAACCTAATCAGATGATGAAATCGAAATTTGAACTGATATGAAAATCGAGTTTGAGAAGGAAATCGAGATTGAGAAGGAAATCGTAGAGAATCGTGATTGAGAAGGAAATTTGAGATATTTTTTCTGTTTTGGTGCGTGAGCGAGAATGGGTCAAACAGTTTTGGTGCGCGAGCGAGATATTTAATTATACTCTTGACGCTGACCGTAGATTTAAAAACCAGATCCAAGGGCTGAGAATGGGTCTCACGTTCACATTTTAAGAGGTGGACTCATTGGATCCTCCCCTATATATATACATACATACATATATATATATATATATATATATATGGTCGCGCTCGGGTGAGAATGGTGCTCCAGGAAAGAAATAAGAATACATCTGAACCATTAGATCAATCAATCCAACGCTTGAAAAAAAACTCTAATTATGCATTCATTAAGGGTATTTATGACATTTTAATATATCTATTAATGAACCCAACAGAAGTGGGTCCCACAACTTACGCCACTCGTCCAACTGACGCCAGCACACACATTAATACATCCTCACCACCAGCGGGCCCTACCCACCCTACCCCCAACCCACCCACACTCCTCTCACACACACGCACACACATACAACACACACAATCGCATGCGTTCCACCGTAACACCGCTCCGCCATCGCACGCTGCCCACCGTCGGCCACCCGCCACACGCCACCTGCAAACCGCCGTCTGCCGCCAGTCAATCATCAAACATCATCCTTCTCACCTGC